TGTTTCTACCTGAGGAAGGAAAGGACACACACCTCAGTGTGACTCAGAGGGGCTGGGTTTCCTTCAGGGCTGCGCTCACTCATTAAGCAATCACTGACAGTACTGTACAGTGTGACACTAACGGGCCACCGACTGTACAGGACACAGTCTGAGGGCAGTCCTGTCCAACATACTGCTGTACAATGAGACACCCGTCCTCTCAGCACTGCACTCGTCTCCTTCACGGAAACCTGTCTAGGAAGGACATTTAGGACATTTAGGACATCATTTAATTGACTATTGGACCGCAGCACAGAACTAATAGTTCCTGAGTTCAACAACAATGAAATCAAATACATCTTGGGAGTCGTAGTTGACCGTTCCAGTAACTGTGAAGAGCTGCACACAGTGTGGAGGAAATGACATGTAACTGATCTCAGGCCAGATGGTGAAGAGTATCATCAGTGTGGTTGTATGATGAAGGCTGGATGTTGAAGTGTCCACACGAACTAATCAGACACCAAAATATCTTCATCAGACGGATCAATACGAGCAGCTCAGACACAATAAAGGAGTTAAACCATAAAGTCATAGAATGAATTCTTTCACTGACAAGAACTCCTTCCTCCTCCTGCGTCTCCTCCTCCTTCTGCATCTCCTCCTCCCTGACAGACTGGAATCTGATTGGCTGAGAGCCATGTGGGACCTCCCTCCTCCTCCCCCTCCTGTTTGACCTTTGACCTCCCTCTGCTGCCTGCATGGTTCCCTCTGCTGGTTCCGTTCAGTTCACACACACACGCTGATAACCTGTGTCACAACACACACTCATGTATGGAAGCTCATTAGTGCCAAAAACACCTGAAAGTAAATCCAATGTGTCCTTCCTGCAGTGTGTCCTTCCTGCCACCAGGGGGCCTCTCACATCAGAACAATGACAATAATCAGTTCTCTCTTTAATTAAGGAGAAACTGTGACGCTGTAACAAAATACACACTTTTTATACTTTCAATAGATTTTACATTTATTCTACTCATTATTATTATTATTATTACTCATTAATAATGAAGTAAAATCACACAACATATTGTCTGTTATTATTATTAATGTTGTCTGAGTAATCTGTAATCATAAATAAATAGTCAGCATTACTTTAGAAATCTAATCAGAGGGGTTGTCACTTTTTCCAAAAATCACATTTGAACTAATTTCAAAAGACACAATTGGTTGTAAATACTTTAAATAAATGATTATAAACACAGAACAAATGTCTGACACCATGAACACAAAGACTACAGGAGCAGACCTTCACTCCAGTGGGAAACACATCCTCAAATATCTTGCTCTCTAATCGGGGATGGCCTCTTTATAATCCCATCCTGTCTGCATATTCTGACTTCCTGTCAATGGACAACAGAAAAGTTTATTGATTTAAAAAAAAAAAACTGATTCTTCTTCTGATAATAATCCATTATCCATCCAAATGTAACTGTAATCTGATTACTGTCTGTCACTGTAACAGACTACAGTTACCTTTTGTAAGCAAAAGTATCCTGATTATGTTACTCAGTTACTTGTAATCCATTACTCCCTAAGCCTGTAAATCAAGATTCAAACTTGTTTATTGTCACTTCCAGACATAAATAATCCACAAACAACAACAATCACACAGCAAACATTAAAAAAGGAGCGTTGGTGAATATCAGTCTGAACACAGATGTTGTTCTTCACCCACATGTTTATCATCATTAAAGTATTTTTGTCATTAATGAGCTTCCGTAGAATGGGAGCACTTCCCACAGAGACGCCCACAGAGCGAACAAACATTAACTCTGCAGCAGCAGTCAGTCTCTCTCCCTCTCTCAGGTAAGTTGTTTCTGTTGTTGTTTCTCATTTAATCTGACTCTTGAACGCGTCCTCATCTGTCTGCAGCTGCACAGAGGAATCATGGGAAACTTTCAGGCTGCAGCTTGTTAACGTGGCGAAGAACCACAGCTGCAGACAGATGTTGGACTCTCCAACCATTAACACATTTAATGAGCACACTGAGCACGAACACTTATTTAAACAGCCTGAGCAGACGAGCAGAGGGAACCAGCGGCGCTCACGTGGATCAGAAAACTGAATGAAAACCAGTTCATCACTGACTGGATCCAGTTGTAGTTTAAACAGTGAAACTATATTTCTACAACCTCAAACTGTTCCATTAGTGATATTTATCAGCCATTTTCATTTTTATTGGCACATGTGTCATCTTTCTGCTTCGTGGCAGCTTTCTGCACAAACTGTCTGTATTAAACCAGATCCAGACCACGATCCAGACCACGATCCTGAGCACAGAGCTGCAGTCGCTGCCAGCTGATCCTGCATCCTATTATTTTCCAATATGATGCCATACATGTTGACTCTCAGCAGCTCCTCTTTATATTAATAGGAACTTAATTATTATTGTTAATATGTTTCCTTTGAATATATTGTTGTTGTTGTTGTTGTTTCTGGGAGACAGTTGGCATGTGGGGGAACGTTTGACTGTCCACTTACTTTTGGCCGTGTAGATCAGAAACAATAGAGTCTGAACAGATGAGAGTTCAATAACTAAACCATGTAGAGACCCACTACAGGCTCTCTGACATAAATCAATAATAAAACAGGAAGTGTGATGAGGTGGTGAAGCAGTGTGGGATCATGGGAGTTGTTGTCTTCACCACCATTGGCGTCATTGCAGTCAGCTTCTCCCGGTT